ATTACGGCTCAGGGGTATGACTTCCTCTCACATTTTGTCATTTGGTGGCGCACTTTCGGCAAGAGTCGGAAATCCAGAAACAGTCGACCGTTTCAGGATAGGTGGGCGTGGCTACAACACGAGAAATATCCCAAATTTATTTGGATACGAGTAATCATTTTCAGCAAAAAAAATCAATAACTGCCCATTTCAGAGGGACACAGATTAAAAATGAGAAAAGTGAGGGTGGGCATTGCACCGGCACTTTAAGACATGTCGTCACAGCGACTTATACCAGAGCGCTATGGAATCACAGTGACCTTTACTAGAGTCCTATGAGGTCACAGTAACTTTCACTGGAGTCCTATTTTGACTTACAAATGTTTTCAAATTATTCATATTAAAAAATAAAATAGTTTGTAGTCATCCATCTTGTTGACTATTGTTTTGCATCATATGTTGTTTTTTACAGTGCCTATAATGTCATGGGGTCCTAGTTTTAACTTTAGTATTTGGTATGTTGAACTAAGTGGTGTGGAAGATCCTGATGTAGTCCAGCCTTTTCTCAAGTGGTATAATCAGGTAATATACAGTGATTCAGATGCTCATGGAATTTTGCTAATATTTTTTCAACATGTTTTAATTTTATTCAATTGTTTCATCAAGTCCCTAGGTGCCTTCTGTTAAATTTAATGTTTAACAACTAAAATATTCAAATAATTTTAAATGTCATTTTTGACAAAATGTTCTAAATTAATTTTGAGACAACCTATTACCAGAGAATGAACGTCAATATTCTAAAGGCAGCCAATTTCAAAACCAAAACTTTTAAAAATGCCTTGTACTGATTGAAATTGTGGAAAAAAATGTTTGAGTATTTTGAGGAACATCCAGGCATTCACCTCCTTGGCCTTTATGAATGTTGAGCCCTGTATTACTTGTATTTTTGTTTTATCATGAAAAAAAAACCTTACCCAAAATAAACACACAAAGATAAGTTTACCTGGTCCAGAGGAGTGGTTACACTATTATTTTAGGGAGATTTCCTCATTTGTCAATGTACATTGTATACTACTACATCTTTGATGATTTTGACGTTTGACCAATGCAAACAATGAAAATTACTTGGAGAAATTCTCAGAAATTTATGGCATATACATTGTATATACAAACCTGTGTTAACGGCCACCTGAATACAGCGGCCACCTGCCTATAGTAGTCGCAACCGAACAGTCCCTGCAAAACTTAAAGTACCCCATATATAGTGGCCACCTGTCTAACTCTGCCAACTGCCAGGTTTCAGCGGCCGCAGTGATCAGTTGAACTGCATATAACGGACATAGTTCTCGGATGTCTTGCAGTGTACTGCCTTAAACCTCAGCCAACTAATCAGCTTCAAAGATCACAAAGGACAAAGTTAGCACATTTTCACACCTTTCATTCAACCGATGGCTTCGGCAATTATGTTTTATTCAGTTTTCCACGGCCAGCACACCATACCGATGAAGTCAACTTCAAATCTTGATGTTCAACAGTCAAATATGTAATGTTGCCCAGATGTTGACATTTCACTGTGCAACTTGTTGATGTCATTAAGCGAGTTATGCATAAAAATTAGTATTCCAGGGACACTGGTTTATCAACTACCCCGGTAGTTAAGAGGATACATTAACTATCTTATGTGTCAGCACTTGTATAGAGTTTATTTATATCTATCTGTATCTTTATGCTGTGTGGTAAACTTGGATATACTTGTTGGTGTTTCAGTATCGAGAAAGAGAAGCAATTAGGTTGATGTATGAAGCATTTCAGACAGCACAATTACAGTGAAGCGTTTGAAAGTTTACAGAAGAAGACAAAGATTTCATTAGAAGATCCCCTCCTCACAGAGCTACACAACGTACTGGTAAATAAAATACATGACTTATTAACATATACATGTACCGGTAGTACCGTATTTATCCGGCTAAGAGCCCATGCCCGGACAAACCCCCCCCCCACACACACACACACACACACACTTTGGATAAAAATAAAGGAGTTGAGGTCATATCCTAGCATACGCCTGAGGAAGGGGGGGGGGGGTCTACACCTGTAATTAAATTAAAAAAAAATCTTTTTTTGTTTGTTGTATCAACAGTTGACTTCTTTGCAGTCTGTTGTGATTCTGATAAAAAAAAATGAAAAATAAAAGTCAATTGTGTAAAATGAGGGGTGAACGCAAAATAGCTGTGACATAAATAGAGCAACGCGTTCACCATTATTTACGCAGTTTACATTTATTTTTTAAAGATTTTTTATCAGAAACATAACATTTTAGTTCATTTTGAGTTCACGTGTATTTGGCATGTTTGTCGGCGGGGATTCATCACTCGATTTTTATTATTTCTGGTTTATTTGTCACATTATAAGCAATACATTATTTTTGTTTTACTTCTAATGTTGCATATTGTTCATTTATTTTTCTTGCGTGTTTTTATTTACCATTCTATTCCGTGTCACAATTTGATCTGCGTGTTGTTGATTTTCGCTAATTTGGGTTTTTTGCCGGGCATATCTGGACAAACGCCCACCCCTATTTTTTGATGATTTTCCATGTTCAGGACCCTGGGCTTTTACCCGGATAAATACGGTATTTACTGCTAAATGATATACAATTTGATGTCAAAAATGCCTTCACAAGGGCTTAATATTAATATTTTTTCTTAGGATCCAGAGTGGGTCACCTAGTTCCAAAGCAGGTAGTACATGTAATACAGTTGTTAAAACATAAAAAAAACTCACTTTGTGTAGATCACTGCATACTTTTTCATTTGGGTATATCGGTGTACAAACAATTTTCATTATTTGTACATTTCTATTAGCCACTTGCCCTGGAAATTATTAGTTTACAGTATTGTATATTTTTCATAATTCACAGAACATCAGATTATTAAATATTTCAAATCATAGTCCCAAGACCCAAGTGTACATTGTGCCTTTAGGAATGATCTCTGAGTAACTATATATTTTAACTTCCAATTTCTTCAACCTTGAATAAGCATAAAATCATTACTAATTTGTGTCAAACTTAAATATATAAGTTTATCATGAATTAACGGCTAGCCTCTCCCACTGCATTAACTAGATGTTTTTACCAATCCACAGAGAATACACTGACAGCCAACTCCAATAGACATGAAAAGGAATTTAATTAATGATGTTCTGTGCTTGTTGACATGTTTCATCCATTGAAAAATGTAATTAATATTTTCCCCTAATTTTGTATGTTTGTGATGAAATTTGTCTTGGACTATTCAAGTGTAATCTTACTTGCTGAAAGTTCAAAATCACATTAAAATCTATATAGAGACGTTTCAATGATTTTTCTTATTTCCGGTAGGTTGTGAATGGTGATTTTGATCGATGTGAAGCAATAATAGAAGATGCAGTGTCTGATGGTCTGTTTAATCACTACATCAATCAGCAAGATTACAAACCTAAGTGGACTGCTCTTGTACCACTTAATTCTCGTAGTGAAGATAGTAGACCTGGTATGAGAGGTGGTCATCAAATGTGTAGTGATGTTGATATAGGTGGGTACAAACCATTGTTCAATTTATATTTTTAGTGAAAATAAACAATCTGAGAAACATTTCTCATACAAAATGACAAATATTTCATTGCTAAAACATGACTCTTACACATGACTGATCATGTTTAAACTGCACATACACACACACATACACACACACACAAATAATACACCTGGGGATACATACACATTCACATTTACTTCACATTCCAAATTGCAGGCATTTTAATAAAAAAAATACATTGAAATTAAGAATTTCACCTAACCTGGGACCAAGTCTCAATTGGACATATATCGATCAAACTCAAACATTCATTAAACATACTGAGATCTTGATGCATGTTATTTTTTATTTTCAGTTACAAATGGGTTAACTGGCAGTCATTTTGATTTAATAAATGTTGTTTAAAGCTTTACCTCTGACATGCCTTGATATATTGCAATCAAATTCATTACCTACATTATACATTACATGTATGCCACACTGATATGCAGTCGTTTTAAGTTCTGATAAAGATGTGCCTCTTTGTGTTAACATGGATAATATTTTGTTGATATATTCATAGAAACCATTTACATGTATGGAGGATGGGATGGAGTCCGTGATTTAGCTGATTTCTGGTCATATAATGTTAGAACTGAGAAATGGACTTGTATTTCAAGGAACACAGAAGAGGAGGTATCAGTAATCTTACAATCTACTTTCCATAACCAGTTCTTTGTAAAGTAAGATAGCCTGAGACACAAAAACTATAAATTTTTGTCCCAGAGCTTCCATGTTTGGAAGTTGGTTGACCTATAGCGAATGAGTAGATTATTATTTACGGTACATGTAATTGTTCTTAAGCATACAGTACAGTTCTCGCGGAAGCTTTGGCTTTTGTGGCATCATTGTAGCATACGCATGGCTTCATTGTCGCCTCAGCATTGCATCATTGTGGCATCAGCTTCGCGTCAATGAAAATTGAAGCTGTGTTCGCCTCTCTTATTTTGTGGCATCATCGTGGCCTCAGCTTCGCAGTCTCATGGCATCAACATGGCATCAGCTTCAAAGTATTGTGACATGAGTATGACCTCATTATTTTCACATGGAAAGGCAGTAGAAAAAACACATGTACAGAAGTTCGATATGTAATCGATTTGAAATTCAAAGCGGTAAGGGGAATAAAATAATATGACCAAGAGTAAAATGACTTTTTAAAAAGATATCTTGTTTAATTATTTAATGTTGCGAGTATTGGGTACCAAAAACTATGTGAAGTACATTGCAATCTGCAAGGTGACGAGTGTCATATTGACTGCAAGGAAAAACGTGATAAATTTAAATCACACGATGCAATCGTCGTTCGGATACAACACAATTTGCTATACTGCTATATATGCTATATATACTATATATATATTTGAAACTGTTCTTGTTATAAAATTACCTTATTTTCGTTCATTTTATTTGCTGGTAAGAGAACAGATTCAGATTCCTCATTTTGGTGGTATTTTTCTGTGTTTCGTTTAGTTTTAGCCGAGTCCGATCCCATGCCCGGACTACTAATACATGCAAAACCCGCGAACGCCGCCTGGCGTTGTCGCCGGCCATCTTGATACAAAGTTCCAAAACAAGTGCGTACATTTCCAACTATGGTTGGTTGGTTGTGGTGGCGTCGGTCTGGTAAAATTTTACATCCAATTTTCAAAATTAAACCACGATCAGTGGCCTGAGCTCGATCTATACGTACTTTAAAAGTATTCTAAAAAAAAAATATTTTCAAATAAAAACGAGCCACAGGCCTGGTAAAAAATCGAATAGC